TAGGATGGAGGGATCACATAGGAACTCTGATGTTTCTGGATTGGGAGTTGGATAACTGTGTTGAGAAAGAATCTGATGCAGCTCAGTGGAAAAGATATTTGAGAATCATTAATAATGTTTGCCATGAGCATGGGATGAGAAAATTGGGGCATACAAGCTAATTTTTGCCAATATTATTCTACATTATCTTGAGACTCTAAGAACTTATGCTTACCTTATGGGCATTTTCATTTTCTCTCAATCTTTATCCCACCACATGCACATTTATACTTAGGTGTACACACACACACACACACACACACACACACACACACACACACACAGGCTTGGACCAGGAGATCAAGTAAAATGCCTAGTATACACTTCCTGGTACTTAGTAAATGGAATAAAGTTATCTTTTTTACTTTTCCAGGATCTTTTAACATTTGTATTTTTGTCAAACTTTTGCTTCCATCTTCCCTCTCTTTTTCTTTTCCTTTCCCTTACCTAACAGCGAATCAGAGACACATATAAGGATTCCTACCTGCATCCAATATGAGCATCTGGAAGGAGAGGTGGAGTGAGATGAGGCTGCCATGATAAATTGGAGAGACTCGCTGCCTCCTCCGGTCACTGAGGCAGGGTGATCCCAAGGCTTTGTGCTGATGACTCATTGGAAAAGGAGGGAAACACTGTAATGAGGGGAGAGGAAAAAGAGATCTCTGAGACTTAAGTCAAGGGGCAGAGAAAGAAATGAACTCAGGAACCTGTCTCTTGGACAGGGAAGGGGAGCATCTCATCTATGGGAGTAAGGTGAGGAGCAGCGTAATATTCTTGCTTTTTTTTCCTACAAGCTTGGGACTTTTGATTTTCAGGAATTTACAGGGCACTCATGGCTCCAACTACCTTCTACATGCTAATGACTAACTCCCAAATGTACATAATGTCTGGTGACCCAGTGGCAGGACCCTGCTTCTATAGGGACCAGGAGGTAAGGGGTCCCTCTGCCTTGGACCAACAGAAAAACTAGGTGGCTTCTATGATTTCCCACTCCACTACCTCCCCTGCCTGGCCAAGGCAGTCTTATGATATCCCATTCTAGTAGCAGTAGTGAGGAAAGGTTGGGACATGCATCAACTACCACTAAATCCTGGAATTTGGTGGGCCTGGCTGTGAAGTTTGCTGCCCAAGGCCTAGAGCTCAGAAATCTTGCTGCTCAAGATAGTCTACTCAGAGCTGGCTCAAAGAATGGGAGGAAGGTATTCCCAAAGTCATACTTTCTTTAGGTGGAGGTAATACACTTTGTATGTGGGGTAATGGATCCTGAGCTGGTAGAGGCATGTGGTATATAATTGTGCAGGGTCTTAAGGACCATGGGAGCAACTGCAGAGATGGAGCATATATCAGTTCTCCATGGACTAGGCAGCACTATTCAACCTTTTTAATGTCATGTCACACAGAGAACATGATGTTATTTTGGGGTACAATGTATTAAACTGAAAGAAAATTAGGCTATATGGGCTTCATGGGAAAAATTATTTTCTCTATATTATATAATCCTATCTAATAATAGACAAATAGGGTAATTAACCGTACCTCTGCTACGCTTCCCATTGGCTAATCAGCGCTATACGCAAATTAACCGCCAACAAGATGGCGGCTAATTTGCATACTGAAGGCAGTGCATGAGGCCGCCCGCGGGTCCCGGGACCCAGATCCGTGGAAGTTCCAAATTCTCTCATGCATGTGATAAATTTTTGGCCTTGAATACTTACTTACTGCTGAGCATTTCTTCTCTGCATTTTCTGCTGCCCTGTGAAGTGCTCTTCTAGGGTCTCCCATTTTGGGGCCTGGGAATGAACAGGGTGAGCTCTGATCCTCTGGGGGTGGGAGGGCCACACTGGCTGAGCTTGTGCTCAACTAAAATGTTTAAAATGCAGCAAACCTCTCAGCTCAAGGATGACTCTCCTTCACAGACCCCCCTATTCACATCATTTGTTTTCATTTTATTCTCATAATTTTTTTTTAATTTTTACTTTTCAACTAGAGGCCTGATGCACGAAATTCATGCAAGGGCTCGGCGGCCCTCGCAGACCCTGGCTGCCTTGGCCCGTGCAGCCCAGCTTCATCTGGAAGGTCATCTGGATGGTCGTTCTGCTGTTTGGTGTAATTAGTATATTAGCTCTTTATTATATAGGATTATAGTTGACATTCAATGTTATTATATACTAGTTTCAGGTGTATGGTATAGTGGTTAGTCAATTATATACTTTACAAAGTCATCCCCCTGATAATTCAAATACCCATATTGCCTATATTTCCTATGCTACATCCCCATGACTATTCTGTAACTACAAATTTGTACTTCTTAATCCCTTCACCTTTTTCACCCAGTCCCTCCCCTCTGGCAGCCATCAGTCTGTTCTCTGTATCTGTGAGTCTCTTTCTATTTTGTTTGTTTGTTTTGTTCTTCAGATTCCACATGTAAGTAAAATCCTATGGTATTGGGCTTTCTCTGTCTGACTCATTTCGCTCAGCATGATACCCTCTAGGTCCATCCGTGTTGTTGTGAATGACCTATTCACATAGTTTTGATGCTATTTCCTAAGGACAGTGACCCAGACTGTGTTGTGCTAAGAACACAGCTGCTTCCTTCCTGTGATCATTGGCTCACAAAGGGAGCTGGGCCTGAACTCCAGATGACCTTCCCTGAGAAGCAGAAGACTACACTCAAGTCCGCTGTGACACCCTAGAGTAGCGGTTCTCAACCTGTGGGTCGCGACCCCTTTGGTGGTCGAACGACCCTTTCACAGGGGTCGCCTAAGACCATCCTGCATATCAGATATTTACATTACGATTCATAACAGTAGCAACATTACAGTTATGAAGTAGCAACGAAAATAATTTTATGGTTGGGTCACAACATGAGGAACTGTATTTAAAGGGCCAGAAGGTTGAGAACCACTGCTCTATGTTTTGAACCCTGGCACCAGCACCAAATCCAAAAAATTTTTGGTGGCAGCTTTACTGAGTCATAATGAACATACCACGCAGTTCACTCATTTTAAGTGTATAGTTCAGCCCTGACTGGTTTGGCTCAGTGCATAGAGCGTTGGCCTGCGGACTGAAGAGTCCCAGGTTCGATTCTAGTCAAGGGCATGTACCTTGGTTGAGGGCACATCCCCAGTAGGGTGTGTGCAGGAGGCAGCTGATAGATGTTTCTCTCTCATCGATGTTTCTGGCTGTCTATCCCTCTCCCTTCCTCTCTGTAAAAAATCAATAAAATATATTTAAAAAAATAAAATCTCACTTTTTAAAAAAAATTCTTTATTGCATGTCTCCTTTTCCCCCCATTGATCTCTCCCTGGCAGTTCCCATCCCCCTGCCCATGCCCTCACCCCCCTACTATCTGTGTCCATGGGTTATGATTATATGCATGCATACAAGTCCTTTGATTGCTCTCTTACCCCCCACCCCCAAACTCCCCTGACTTCCCTCATAGGTTGGACAGTCTATGTCTCTGGATCTATTTTTGTTCATCAGTTTATGTTCATTATATTGCACAAATGAGTGAGATTCTGTGATATTTATCTTTTGCCAACTGGCTTATTTGACTTAGCAAAATGCTCTCCAGGTCCATCCATGCTGTTGCAAATGGTAAGAGTTCATTCTTTTTTTACAGAAGCATAATACTCCATTGTGTAGATGTACCACTGTTTTTTAATCCACTCATCTGCTGATGGGCACTTAGGCTGTTTCCAAATCTCAGCTATTGCAAATTGTGCTGCTATGAACATAGGGGTGCATATATCCTTTCTGATTGGTGTTTCTGATTTCTTAGGATATATTCCTAGAAATTGGATTATTGGGTCAAATGGGAGTTCCATTTTTAATTTTTTGAGGAAACTTCATACTATTTTCCATAGTGGCTGCACCAGTCTGCATTCCCACCAGCAGTGCATGAAGGTTCCTTTTTCTCCACATCCTCACTGGCACTTGTCGTTTGTTGATTTGTTGATGATAGCCATTCTGACAGGTGTGAGATGATACCTCATTGTTGTTTTGATTTGCATCTCTCGGATGATTAGTGGCTTTGAGCATGTTTTCATATGTCTCTTGGCCTTCTGTATGTCCTCTTTTGAAAAGTGTATATTTAGGTCCTTTGCCCATTTTTTGATTCGGTTATCTTCCTTTTGTTAAGTTGTATGATTTCCCTATAAATTTTGGAGATTAAACCCTTGTCAGATAGAACATTGGCAAATATGTTCTCGCATGCAGTGGGCTTTCTTATTGTTTTGTTGATGGTTTCTTTTGCTGTGCAGAAGCTTTTTGTTTTGATGTAGTCCCATTTATTTATTTTCTCCTTAGTTTCTATTGTCTGAGGAGCTGTATGGGTAAAGATATAGCTGTGAGAGATGTCTGCTATTTTGCTGCGATGGATTCTTCTAATATTTTTATGGTTTCCTGCCTTACATTTAAGTTTTTTTTATCTATTTTGAGTTTATTTTTGTGTATGATGTAAGTTGGTGGTCTAGTTTCATTTTTTTTGCATATATCTGTCCAATTTTCCCAACACCATTTATTGAAGAGACTGTCTTGACTCCATTGTATGTTCTTGCATCTTTTGTCAAATATTAATTGAGCATAATGGCTAACTCTCATGAAGCATCCTTTTGACGTGAGATGGAAAACATATTCTAAGCAAAAAGAAAAATGTAGACAAAGAGAGGCAGGACAGTAAACATCATAATCCAGAGATGTTGAGTATGTTATTCTGGCAAGAGCAAGGGATGTGTGCAAGGACATTGGTCTAGTTCAGTGATGGCGAACCTTTTGAGCTCGGCGTGTCAGCATTTTGAAAAACCCTATTTTAACTCTGGTGCCATGTCACATATAGAAATTTTTTGATATTTGCAACCATAGTAAAACAAAGACTTATATTTTTGATATTTATTTTATATATTTAAACAAAAGGTGATTCAGGCCAGGACCCAGAGGTCAGGTGTTAATGTGGCGCGTGAAGCTGGAGGAGGGCAGGAAGGGAGGAAGTTCTCAGAGGTAGACGTTGAGGGTCCTCCGAATGCCCTGGTGGCAGAGCGGGCAGTTGGGGTGGTAGACATTAGGGTGGCGCATCAGGATTTTGGTGAAGGCCTGGCAGAGGCACAGGTGCCAACAGGGCAGCAGCAGCACTATCTTGCTCTGGTCCTGGCAGATGACGCACTTCTTCCACTCCTCTTGCTCCTTCAGCAACTTTCATGGGTCTTGATTGACTAGAGGCTCCTCACTGAGCCTCTCCCTGCCCCAGGCAGCAATCACTCTGACCATTCTACCTTCTTCCTCTTCTGTCTCTGATCTGGGCCCTGCTTCAGGAAGAGTGTCCTGTTGTGAGGTCCTGGCTGCAGGCACCCTACTAGGGCCACCCTGGGGAGCCCCAGGTGCCCCTCCTGAGTTTAGCCAGCTTGCCAGCTGCAGGCTGCAGCTACAGACTCGGCGCCAAGCCTCCAAGCCCAGTGCGAGGCGAGACAGCCATGTAACATCCTCTCGAAGCCTGTGGTAGGATGGCCGGGCATGGAGCTGACTGAGGGCCTGGGTGGCCAGCCTCATGGTGAGGTCTGGGTGCAGCACGGTCACCGTCACCGCCAGCACGCAAGCCAGCAGCACCAGGCCAGTGAGATTGACAAGCACAAAGCTGGCCACGAGGTGGGCAGCCAAGGCCAGGAGCTCCATTGCTAGCTGGCATGGGGTCCAGAGGAGGATGGCCATGACCACAGCACTGCTGGAAATGTAAGCGAGGAAGGCCTCCATAACGTCCGTCATCCTCCACAGTGGCCCCATCACTGCATCCCATAGGGCCAACAACAGGGAGAAGAGGTTCTGAGTGCTAATGAGGCAGATGTTGACCAGGCTGTTGATCACGTAGGCCACCAGGCTCATGGCAATGGCACAGACGTCACAGGCCTGGTGCAGCAGAGCATGGCCACTGGAGACCACATTGAAAATGCCCCGGTGCAGGATGTTCCGGCTCCTCAAGGCCCCGTGCGCAGCCAGGTGCCCCAGGAGCTTCAGGCTCTCCAGGCCAGAGCAGCAGCTGCACAGCAGGGTTCACAGGGCCTGAGCGCCCCCGAAAGTGAACCACATCAGAGCTTCCATCAAGGCCAGCAGTGACAGCAAGACTCCGCGGCCCAGGTGCACCAGGCTGGTCAGCACAGTGTGGGGCAGGTTGTAGATGAAGGCCAGCAGCCAGGCTACGGAGGCCAGGAGGGAGGACACTAGCAGGAAGTTCAGGTCCAACACCAAGGTCAGCAAGCCCAGCACCAGGCCCACCCCGTTCACCACCAGGTACACAGCCTCCATGGCGGGGCCAACACCGCCCAGCTCCCGGGTGAGGGGGCGGGAAGGCTGCGATGTTGGGGGGACGGGTCGGGGGTGAACCTGGAAGGGAAGGAAACGTCTCAACTCCGGGCGAGAATCGAGAGTCTGCGGAAGAAGGGTGAGGGGTGAGGGTCTCAGTGCGGGGAACGGGGTCCGGGAGGCCCGGTGTGGGCGGCGGGCTGTCGGGGAGGGAAGAGGCCGGGCATCTCCGGGCGGAGGTGAGCTGGCGGAGGAGCCTGGCTTGGCGTTGCAGACCTGGCAGCAGCGCCCTCATCCCTGAGGTTGGGGCTTGTGGTCCCGCCTCGCAGGTGCCCTGTCCCACCCGGCCCCTGTCCTCCAGTCTGCACTCCTCGCCCAGAGCAGGAGCTGGAAAGGGGACCCTCAGGCGAGCCCAGGTACTGCCTCCACCCCGCTGTGCGCTGCCATCTTGTGCCCCATTTTTTGATTGGGTTGTTTTTCTTCCTTTTGTTAAGTTGTATGAGTTCCCTATAAATTTTGGAGATTAAACCCTTGTCAGATAGAACATTGGCAAATATGTTCTCCCATGCAGTGGGCTTTCTTATTGTTTTGTTGATGGTTTCTTTTGCTGTGCAGAAGCTTTTTGTTTTGATGTAGTCCCATTTGTTTATTCTATCGTTAGTTTCTATTGTCTGAGGAGCTGTATGGGTAAAGATATAGCTGTGAGAGATGTCTGCTATTTTGCTGCCTATGGATTCTTCTAATATTTTTATGGTTTCCTGACTTACGTTTAAGTCTTTCATCTATTTTGAGTTTATTTTTGTGTATGGTGTAAGTTGGTGGTCTAGTTTCATTTTCTTGCATCTATCTGTCCAATTTTTCCAACACCATTTATTGAAGAGACTGTCTTGACTCCATTGTATGCTCTTGCCTCCTTTGTCAAATATTAATTGAGCATAATGGCTAGGGTCAACTTTTGTGTTCTCTGTTCTGTTCCATTGATTTATATGTCTGTTCTTGTGCCAGAAACAGGCAGTTTTGAGAACAGTGGCTTTGTAATATAGCCACTTGTGATACCTGGTATTGTGATTCCTCCTTCTTTTTCAGGATTGCTGCAGCTAAAGGGGAGAATTATTTATTCCATATGAATTTTTGGAGAGTTTGTTCTAGGTCTGAGAAAAATATGCCGTTGGTACTTTAATAGGTATTGCATTGAATCTATAGATTGCTTTGGGTAGTATGGACATTTAAATGATGTTGATTCTACCAATCCATGAACATGGGATGTTCTTCCATTTGTTTATGTCTTCCTCTATCTCTTTTTTCAATGTCCTGTAGTTTTC